TACGACACTGGAAAACAGAAGAGTAAGGGGAGACATGATCACAACCTACAAAATTCTCAGGAGAATCGACTGGGTAAACAAGGATAAACTATTCAACACTGGTGGGACGCGAACAAGGGGACACAGGTGGAAACTGAGTACTCACATGAACCACAGGGACGTTAGAAGGAACTTTTTTAGTGTCAGAGTAGTTAACGGATGGAATGCATTAGGCAGTGATGTGGTGGAGGCTGACTCCATACACAGTTTTAAATGTAGATATGATAGAGCCCAGTAGGCTCAAGAATTTGTACACCAGTTGATTGACAGTTGAGAGGCGGGACCAAAGAGCCGAAGCTCAACCCCCGCAAGCGCAAATAGGTGAGTACAAATAGGTGAGTACACACACATGTGTGAGTGTGTGCTAGCGTATTTTATCAATATATTTTATGATCTATATATATATCTATAAATCCAACATTATGTTTGTAAATCAACTATGTATGTACTTTCCTGAATAAAATTTACTTAACACTACTTTACTTTAATATTATGGCCATGTCTGGAAGCACATGTGTATGTGAGTAACTTTTCTGTAATGAGCATTAACAAATCTGCTTCGTTCTCAACTTACTGATGCACACACCTTGTTCCGACACTCAAGTAAGCTGTAACTCAGTCGTTCACTCCAACCACTAACCTACCTAACCTCAGTCGTTCACTCCAACCACTAACCTACCTAACCTCAGTCGTTCACTCCAAGCACTAACCTACCTAACCTCAGTCGTTCACTCCAAGCACTAACCTACCTAACCTCAGTCGTTCACTCCAACCACTAACCTACCTAACCTCAGTCGTTCACTCCAACCACTAACCTACCTAACCTCAGTCGTTCACTCCAACCACTAACCTACCTAACCTCAGTCGTTCACTCCAAGCACTAACCTACCTAACCTCAGTCGTTCACTCCGAGCACTAACCTACCTAACCTCAGTCGTTCACTCCAACCACTAACCTACCTAACCTCAGTCGTTCACTCCAAGCACTAACCTACCTAACCTCAGTCGTTCACTCCAACCACTAACCTACCTAACCTCAGTCGTTCACTCCAACCACTAACCTACCTAACCTCAGTCGTTCACTCCAACCACTAACCTACCTAACCTCAGTCGTTCACTCCAACCACTAACCTACCTAACCTCAGTCGTTCACTCCAAGCACTAACCTACCTAACCTCAGTCGTTCACTCCAACCACTAACCTACCTAACCTCAGTCGTTCACTCCAAGCACTAACCTACCTAACCTCAGTCGTTCACTCCAACCACTAACCTACCTAACCTCAGTCGTTCACTCCAACCACTAACCTACCTAACCTCAGTCGTTCACTCCAAGCACTAACCTACCTAACCTCAGTCGTTCACTCCAACCACTAACCTACCTAACCTCAGTCGTTCACTCCAAGCACTAACCTACCTAACCTCAGTCGTTCACTCCAAGCACTAACCTACCTAACCTCAGTCGTTCACTCCAACCACTAACCTACCTAACCTCAGTCGTTCACTCCAACCACTAACCTACCTAACCTCAGTCGTTCACTCCAACCACTAACCTACCTAACCTCAGTCGTTCACTCCAACCACTAACCTACCTAACCTCAGTCGTTCACTCCAAGAGATCCCAAGTGTATTTTTGTTTTGTACTAACAAGCTTTGGTATACACAGCACTGTGCTGCTATCCTAGTCTACATGAAAGATTACAAAGTGTAGATCAAAAACTAGCTCTAAGTTCATCTAATATCCCCAAGTATCAGGACGCAGCAACACCAGGAACTGTTGTTGTTGTTGTTAAAGATTTAGCTACTCAGGACGAAGTGTCCATGTAGCACGGGCTATGGTGAGCCCGTAAAACCAGGAACTGATGTTTGTTGTTCTAATAGTGTTGTTTTTATGTTAGGAGTGCTTCACTCTCGTCCCTGCAGGGGGGGTGGGGGTGTCTTCCTTGTCACGGCTCCCATCATGCAGAAGCATGCGAAAGCTGTCCCGACATGTTTTGTAGCTTAGTTCGGTTATTATGCATCTACAGGATGAACAACCCAGCGGGTTTTCTTCCTATTGGGGAGTGTTGTACATGCTGCTATGGCGGTATGTCCACTCACAAGATGAGTGGCGCTGCCCAATAAACTCGCCCTTCGGGGCAAAATTTAATTTAAATTTAAAAAAATTATGCACCCCATACCCATCCTGTGGATGGCAGTGGAAAGGGTTGTAGAGACAAATAATAGACTCAGGAAGTGAACCTGAAAAGTGATTATCAATGGGTTCGACACCTGTGGTTCTAGTGTCCCTATGTCCACACACTTTGTACTTCACGCCATCTAGACCCCCATAGTCATTAAGCCGTATCTGAACTGTGACAACATCTGTCAGTCTACTGATGTTGTTACTTGCCCCCAGACAAGTGTTTCCTTGGACACAAGTGAAGGCAAGAACTGTACAATAGTGTGAAGCAGTTTGGGTATTGTTGTGGATGTTTTGCTGGAGCGTGATTGGCGATAATTGTCTGTGATGGTGGTTATGCTGCCTGACAGCTGAGCGGACAGCGCTCGGGATTCGTAGTCCTGAGGTTCTGGGTTCGATCCCCGGTGGAGGCGGAAACAGATGGGTAGAACTTCTTTCACTCTGATGCTCCTGTTCACCTAACAGTAAATAGGTACCTGGGAGTTAGACAGCTGCTACGGGCTGCTTCCTGGGGGTGTTTAACAAAAAGGAGGCTTGGTCGAAGACCGGGCCGCGGGGACGCTAAGCCCCGAAATCATCTCCAGATAACCTCAAGATAATGCTATGCAACCTTCAGGAAAAGGTTGGGTCGGTGTCGTTTATATAATAAATATAAATAAATAAATAAATAAATGTTTATTTAGGTAAGGTACATACATACAAGAGATTTTACAAAGTTTGTTGGATTAATAGATAGAGCTAGTACATACAATGCCTAAAGCCACTATTACGCAAAGCGTTTCGGGCAGTCTTATCTTTATCTTTCCCTAAATTGCTCGATCCCCGACCGTCCAAATGGTTGGGCACCATTCCTTCCCTCCCGTCCCATCCCAAATCCTTATCCTGACCCAATGCTATATGGTCGTAATAGCTTGGCGCCTTACCCCTAATAGTTCCCTTCGATCATATTTCCTGGATTTACGCGAGAGGCCACTTGAGAGACGGTGGCCTCGACGAGGACAGGAAGCCGGGACTTGTCAAAAGTCCTTCCATTTGTCCTGCTGATTTTATCGAACAGAAGTTTAAAATTCAGCAGTGTTTTGGCATTTACGGGGTCGGCAGGTAGGCGGTTCCTTAGGTTTATAACCCTGTGGGGGAGAAAAGCATCTCTAATTTTCTGTCCTGCATTGTGGCTTATTGAAACCGTTCCTCATTGTTTGTTATAACAACGAGGAATTAAAGACAACTTTTGAAAAAGTTGTCTTTATCAATATCCTCTAAATTGTTAAGTATTTTCAAAGTTTCGATGAGATCTGTCCTGTCAAAATATTTAAAATACAGACAAATTTGGACAATACTGATCCGGACTTCTTCTTCTAAATGTGGGAATGTGGGAAGCAGTGCCACGAGGTTGATTATCATTAGGATTACTCTCATGTTTTTAAATAAGTGATGCCAGATCGTTGTGGGATCAAGAGTAGAGTTAACCGCACAAGTGTTGAAATGAAGTCCACAAGTGTTCTGGTTGTGCTTGGCGGACACCTGTGGTGCACTCTACTATTTTCGTCTCCCGTCGGCCTCATTCACACTTTCCTTGACGCTCAGCAGCTCTAGCTTCTTATCCAGATCCTAGCAAGTCTTTACATGCATCTCAGATCAATTTGTTTAGCTTAACCTGCCTGTCGTCATAGCTCGTGAGATATATGTGCATGTCTCAGGGTCGAAATATTTTGTGGCGCTCTAGGCACTCAAGAAAAGAGCCGTCAAAGTCTTGGGATGCATACTTTTCGTTCAGTCGTTTGCCATAAACTTAGAAGCCTGACCGGAAACCTGTGACCTGGATCGATTGCTCCTTGGGAGGGCAGGAATCGATCGTCTTGACCGATATCTGCCACACCTCACCAGCGGTATGTTTATTCATATTTTCTCTACACTTGAATTACATTATTCATACGAAACGTTTTAGGGATATAGTTTTACGGTATAGAGGATTGTTAAGTGAAACTGTGTATGGCTTAAGATGCAGCAATCATAATAAAATATATAAATATGTCAATGTGGATAGGGTGGTAATTTTGTCCTTGCCTCCCATCCATACCATTGGCTTTAATGAACATTTTATTGACATGCAATTATGTCCTAGGTATTAAAGACCAATTTTAATTACAATGTAAGTCAACAAACACAAAAAACTATTCTAAGCTCTACAATTTCTTAAATACTAATCCAAGAAGGAAAGTTGTGTCGCTTTTAAATCTAGCGGGCGCGAGTGACGTCACCAGAAGCTTGCAAGATGGCGGCGGTGTTTGTTGACACTCCACCAGAGAGAAGAATGTAGAAGTTTTTGTTTATATTGAGTTTAAAGTTGCCTAAATGTTAAGGTAAGTTGACAAGTAACGTTGCAAAAGTGTCTTAAGCATCCACAGATAGTCGTGAAATGGCTGCGGTGGTGGTTTTGGCCAAGTTTTTTGACGGGTGTTTGATGAAAAAAAAACCTGGCCCGAGCTGGGCAGGGCGCAAAGAGCAGATGGCACAAAATGGGCTGTGGTGACGAGGCCGAGGGAGCTGTGTGTCACCTCCCTCGGCTCCTTGACACCTCCTTGCCCTGCCCGAGATGATCCTGCTAATGCTTTGTTGGTAGTTTGGCAGCAAAGGGCGGAATACGCATGATGTCCGATGAAAGATGCAGGGGTGGGTGTGGAGGGCTGGGTGACCGTGAAAAATGGACACAGACGTAGCAGACTATGACAAGGGCTCCAGCCCAAGACAGTGGGATAATACACGCACCCTAGTGCAGGGGGGAGGTGTGGCGGTGTGGGGTGGGGGGCTGCAGCTCTGGCACTGGCTCATACACCTGCTGTCAACATAGCAACACAGGAGAGACAGTGGCTGTCAGCTGACTTATCATCAGTTGTCACTGTCAGTCAGCTGTGACATATCAGTCAGTATCACGTAAAAATTCTGAAATTGTTATTACTTTAACCTAACATCAAGGCAAATGCAGCTTCAATTATTTGTTTTCTACATTGATGATATAAGTGACATTAATGTTGTTCTAGGTAGTATTGTGATGAAGGGAAGCAATGTAATCATGTAGTTTTAGAATACTGTAATTGGTGTTTGGTGATAGTGAAGTGAGTGCCTGGTTTTATTGAGTGAACAAAATACACTAATAGTACAGTAAAACAAAAGTAATTATTGAATTCTGCATGCATAATGTAAGAAAAAACATAGCTTTCATGTTTAAAATTATAAGAACAAAAAATGTGATTTTTCAATCAGCTTTGTGAAGTCTTGAATGTGCAAGGTGTTTTAAATTTTCACAATAATTAGTTTCAAAAGGTAGTTTTGTAATGACAAATATTTCTTGATCTTTACCTGACTATATCTGAAGGCCACCCTCTCTAGTGGCCTCAATGGGAACGGGAAACTGCTAACTTATCATATGTTCTTCCATTGCTCCTGAAACGCACATTAATAATGATATGTAAAAAGACACCTCGAACACTGTTTATGTAGGACAGACGTAAATCTGCTTATTTATGTTTGTAGGTTAGCTTAGCATTTTAAAAGCACTACAATCACCTTCTGTGGTTGATTGTTCAATAATTCACTGAATTATATGTTTTAACAGATTTCTACCCCTGTCCATGGAGGGCAGAAGAAAATGTATATATGTTGGTTAGCATTGTGAATGTGCGGCCACATTTGTGGTATAAAATAATAATAAAAAAAATCTGAATATTCTTCTAGGTGAATTTTAACTGGTGTATTATTTTTGCCATCGGTGGCATCTGTGAGTATGCAGTATTAAGGGATTATTACCCTATTGGCAAAAAAAAAATCTAATGTTTTCTGTCCTACTTTGAGCTTGACGCTGTTGCTCTTTCTACCGGCCCACCATAACCCGTGCTACTTGGAACTTTTTGTTCCGAGTAGCTGAATCGGAAACAACAGTAACATGTTGCTCCTTTTATTTGTTACACTGAACTTTTCAGAGAAGTGATCTGGAATAATGTCCTCTAATTTGTTCAGTATTTTAAAGGTCTTGATGAGATCAGCCCTGTTATGTAGCATAACACAAGTAATTGTGGGACTGCTAGATTGCTTTAGGTGTAAGTCAGATATATGTATGTGAATGAGTTTAGGAAGCTATAAATAAGAGCTGCCTTGAAAGGGTCAGTAGCTTTAGCAGATCACTTTATTCTTATGTTCTCAGTACTGAGGCCCTCAAACTTTCCTTGTGTGAGTGTTCATCTTTGTTATGGGATGATTTTTGTTACAGCATCATAAGACAGTAAATGAACAAAAGTTACACTCGGTAACTTTTTCCAAAGTTGGTATGTTCTTTTGAAGGTAAGATCTTTGTGCTGGGATACAGTACCCCCAAATGGGAGGCCACACCAGAGATATGTACTGTTTATATTGAATTGAAATAATATACAGTACTGTTTACTAAATGTATACTAAGCATGAGTTTAAGCATCAGTGCCATAAGAAGATATATTGGTACATTAGGGTCCCGGTAGTACAGTCGGGTTCGTTCTCGACTCGCAAGCGAGAATTCCGGGTTCGAATCCCAGGTGGGAAAGAAATGGTTGAGCGCATTTCCTACCACCTAATGCATCTGTTCACCTAGTGGTGAGGAGGTACTGTACTCAGGAGTTAGTCAGCCTGTTGTGGGGTTGCATCCTGGGCCGGGTTTGTAATTTGACCTGGGGGGGGGGGGAACTGGGGTTAGGCTTATATAAATATATAAGTAATGTGTATGAATACACTCTGAATACACCCCGACACAATGAATTACAGTATTATTATTAATTATAAGCATACTGTAAATCCATTGGTGATAATTATTCTAACCTGTGCAAGTAGCTGTTGATAATGCAGCATTTTATTCCATGCAAATTAAATTAATTACGCTGATAAAATAGCAGAGTTCATTATTAAATTTTTTGTTATGTATAGGCCTAAGGTTAGTGTCATTGTTTTCTATTTAGTTTTCCCTTGGAAGGATTATTAAGAAATATAGGTTTGTACATTATATTGTATATTGTTATGCTGCTTTAGAGAAAGCCCAGTGTTCTCTTACGAGTATAATATAATACAGTACCTAAACATTGCAGATAAACAGAAAAGTGGTTCATGACATGCTGCACTGTCTCAATACATGATGATGTAGCCAGAATTGTCTAATTGTTTCTAGTATAAGATATTTACAAGACTTAGGTTATATAAAGGGCATATTTTGAGATAAATGTGGTATACTGTACACTGCTTATGAAGTGTTTCTTTTTCACCATTATGAGTCAAATTCCAATAATGTATGCAGCATTAGAGTGTGCAGTACTTGACAAACAAAAAGCTGAATTTACACTTACTGTTGTTAGGCTACAATTACTGGTAAGCTATTCTTTGCAAACTTAGATTTTGTGCTATTGAACAGGCAGCAAGACAGTGGCGCAGCACATGTTAGCTGTGACCTCTGCTCCAGAGACACTGTGACCACCACCATCACAACTCGGGGGACAGCCAGGTCCTGCCACGCTGCACCATGTTCCATCGCTTCCATGACCTGAAGCCAGGGCAAGACTCTGAGATGGTAAGCCAACTCTTTACATTTCATGTATATTTTTTTTAGCAATTTTGTAAGACATTTACACTCAATTGAGCAAGCTAAAATGTTGTGTATTTTATTTTGCTTCTGTATAGGCTATGTATGGTGGAACCTCAAAAATCTGAACTTATCATTATGGATTTCCAAATTCTTGATACAGGTATCACAAAATTTAACTTTTATAAATATATTCCGAATTTTTTAGGGGGATTGGCAGTCTCACTTGTAAGGCATGATAATGTGTGTATAAATTTAACATTTGTGTTCATATTAAGATTGTCTTGCTGTCTTGTCTAGCTAGATTATTCTAGATGCCAGATATATTTTCTTTTCACAAATAAGATCATAAAAATTGGAAAACGTTTCCAATTTATATGTATTGTTTCATTTTCTATTTTGTGTTAATATATTTAGCACCTTGTTAATATACCCTTTCATCCATTTGTATACTTTAGTCATGTCCACTCTTTGGGAAGGACGTGACTAAAGTACAGCATAGCTATTTTATTTTTTATTATAATTAAGGGAAGAGTTTCTGATCTCCAGCATGAACTTTGTCACCATCCTCTGTAAATTTTCTAAAGAATTTATTTTCATTCTATAGAATGGTGCACAGAACTGAATTGCATTATCTAAATGAGGTCTAAAAAAAAGTCAAGATTACGCTAAGAATAACCTTGGATGTCTCATTACAGTACAATGTACTGTACTAACTCTTCTTGTTATAGATTCCAGTATTCCATTTGCCATATTTTGAATACAGTATTTATATTTTGATTTAAGAATTCTACTAATCACGATACTGTACCCAGATCTTATTTTACATTCAAATTTGGCAATTTCAACATTGACCAACTGATACTCATACGTAATTCTTGTTGTCATTTCCTTGGCTCTTGTAATTTGTAATTTTTTAGCAGTAAAGCTGTTAAAAAAAGTGGATGAAAATCACATTAGTAACAAGAGGTTGACTGAAATAAAGCAAGAAAATGCATATAGATGGAACGAGTTGTCACTGTTGTTATGACTGGGCACCCGTGTTTGAAAAGGGACATTGTATCATTTCTAATACTGTACTGGAATGTGCAATTAGATACAATAAATCATTTAAAACAAATATAATGATTTTAATAATGAAGGCAATAACATAGTAAAAATATTGCATTGACAAAAGATTGTTGATGAATATTAACTCCTAACATGCAGCAGTCAGTATAGATGCATGTTCATCTATGTCCACCCCCCCCCCTTCCCACCACCAAAGTGGAAAAGTGGAAATAAAGTGAATACAGTACCTACAGTGTAGCTTGTTTCATGCACTGAACAAATTGAGTGTATGTTGCGTGGCGGTCCAGCCCACACGTCTCATAGGCAAAGCTCTCTGCTAGCAAGACACACAGCCCTTCTTCTTTAGGTTATCTTGAGATGATTTCGGGGCTTTTTTAGTGTCCCCACGGCCCGGTCCTCAACCTGGCCTCCACCCCCAGAAAGCAGCCCGTGACAGCTGACTAACACCCAGGTACCTATTTTACTGCTAGGTGACAGGGGCATAGGGTGAAAGAAACTCTGCCCATTGTTTCTCGCCGGCGCCTGGGATCGAACCCAGGACCACAGGATCACAAGTCCCGCGTGCTGTCCACTCGGCCGACCGACTCCCGACCGGCCCTAGCCAAAGACACTCAATATTGACTATGGATGTCTAGATGATTGTGTGTATGAATGTATGTATACATCAATAAGAAATAAAGAAATGCAGAAATTCTGTTGGCCCATACAAGGGAGCTCCTATTTATATGAACAATATAAATAGCTGCCTCCTATTATATGCCCGAATTATTATGTGCTCTCCTATTGCCCGAAATGCTATGCGTATTAGTGGCTTTAGGGATTGTATGTACTGTACTAGCTCTACCTGTAAATCCAACTTTGTTTGTAACTCTCTTCTATGTATGTACCTTTACCTGAATAAAACTGAATTTTGAATTGGAATATGAACAGTATAAATAGGAACTGCCCCCTATTTGCATCTGCAGTCCCTTTATTATGCTCAAATGATGATTGGTTGACCTGGTATACAGTACTGTACTTCATAACAACTGTGTACAGTTGTGAAAAACCATATAAACATAATCAATATACTATACTGTACATATGTAATTTTGATGGAATTTTATACCAAGACGATTACCACATTGGCACAGTAACATTTGTGACGATAACCACATTTACAAAGTAACGTAATCATGAAACGATAGCAGGATTTTTTCATGAAGTCGAGGCTAACTCCACTATTTCCATATAGAGCTTTTATATGCTTATTAGTATCATTTGTGTAAAAAGCGAGACAATAGTTATTTAAATCAACGTGTGATGGTAACTGCACTTTAAGGATTAATAATGCCAAGACAGTTTACATTTTTTCAAAGAGCAAAAATCCCTCCAGATTTTTAAGGTTTCCATTATACAGTATAGTAATAAGTTACAGATTTTGGAAGGTGCCCCTCTTGCATTTGTGTTGGCAGCATGATTGAACTTTACATAATTTTATGTTTAACCCTGTAATTTATGTAGTGAAATTGTTATTCAGTGCAAAGCAATTTTGGAAAACTGTGCATGTAAGAAAATGTTAACATTTAACATTAATACAATACAGTACTTAGGATTAATATTTTTTAATTTGTTGGTCATAGTCATTTTGTGATTGTCACTTTGTTGCGTTTTGTATATAATTAAGTTCGGTATAATTTACATATACTTACAAGGTTGATAAGAAGTTATTTATTTTGTATGCGGTATAATGTGGTAAATCAGTGGTAACCATGCTGAAGTATCACTATTCCTGTTTTACTACGTATCTCGTTGTGAGCTGTAATGCTTTATTATTTCATGAATCTTGGTGCTAGTTCATAAGAGTTGTATTACATTACGATATATATACAGTACTGTATTTGTTTACTATTAAATTTTTGTTCAGAATTGCATTGTAACTTTTAAGGTTTGTTTTCGTTTTAAGAGTTACCCGTGGTGTATGCTGTATAATATTATTTTGCATATTTGTTTACAGTTGGTGTAATTTTGCATACATATATATTTTTCGGCAGTTGGCATAGTATATAAAGAATGCCGTAGGAGATTTTGGTCACGCTTTAAACCCTTTTGCTCTGCCAGAATATGGTGCATTGCATTATTTGAGTAGTGGAGCTCCCTGATTGTTTTTGGAACTAAATTCGTCTTGGAGAAAAAGGCAGAGGGGTGGAGAGTGGCAGTCCTTTTCCTAAAGCAATATTTTGATTTTTTCATGCCTGCTTTGGTACCATGTGATATATTGTATAATATACCTGAGATTTTCTGGCTGAATAAATTTTGTTTGTTTTATTTACATTTTTAAATGATCCATGTATGCTTTTCATACAATACAAATAAGAGAATTTAACAAGTTTCTGAGGGAGTTACCAGATAAGTGTGGCTGTGATGGCTATGTGGCTCTCTGGGCTATAAAGTCAAACAGCCTCATTGACTAGGCAGTTACCAAGGAAGACTGGCCCTCAGGCCATGCTACAATAGAACTATGAAAATTGTCTACGTGTAATCTGCAGGTAAATACGGTGCTTCACATGAGACTCGATCAAATTTATATGTATAGTCCATTTGGGGTAAGGGTAATTTACCTGATCAACCAGGCTGTGACTCATAATTTAGGCTGCAAGCAGCCGCGTCCAATAGCCTGGTTGACCAGTCCAGCAACCAACCAGGAGGCCTGGACGATGATCGGGCCGCGGGGACGCTACACCCCGAAACCAACACAAGGTAATCACAAGGTAAGGGGTTTGACAGCTATTTGTTCACGCCTCACACACAATCTTGCGGACTCAGATGATGGAAAAGTGAACCAGCCTGTTTCCTTGTGTTTCTTTAACTTTAGTAGTTATTGCACTGTCTCTTACATGTGCTTAGTGTTGATGGTGAATAACATCACATACAGTATTAAACAATATCAAACACAAAATGAAATTAGAAAAGGTTCAGAGGTATGCCACCAGGCTAGCCCCCAAGTTGAGGGGTTATGAGCTATGAGGAAAGAGTAAACGAAACTGCCCGAAACGCTTTGCGTAATAGTGGCTTTAGGCATTGTATGCACTAGCTCTATCTATAAATTCATCAATATTTGTATCACACCTTATATGTATGTACTTTACCTGAATAAACATTTGAATTTGAATTTTTGAATTTTGAGTACTGGAGCTAAACCTCATGACACTGGAAGACACAAGAGTTAAGGGAGACATGATCACTACCTATACAATTCCCAGAGGAATTGACAGGGTAGATAAAGATAAACTGTTAGCACAGTTGGTACACAAACAAGGGGGCACAGGTAGAAACTTAGTACCCAAATGAGCCACAGGGACATTAGAAAGAACTTTTTCAGCATCAGAGTAGTTAAGAGATTGAATACATTAGGCAGTGATGTGGTGGAGATAGACTCCATACACAGTTTTAAATGTAGATATGATAGAGCCCAGTAGGCTCGGGAATCTGTACACCAGTTGATTGACAGTTGAGAAGCGGGACCAAAGAGCCAAAGCTCAACCCCAGCAAGCATAACTAAGTGAGTACTAAGATAAAATGAAAGACACCACTTATAAATATGTTGTGTAGTGGTAAACATCCTTATCCACCCATCTTGTAAACAAGATCTGGTTTCAACCTCTGGGCAAGGGGGGACTGTTGGATACTTTTAGTTCTGCTCACCTGTATGCATCCAGCACTAAATGAGGACCAGGAAATAGAGCATTTGGTGGATTGGAAGAGGAATGGCACCCCAGTGCCATTCCTCTTCCAATCTATCATCCAGCTATCCCTTCTTATCAGGGGAGGGGGGGGAAGGGGAGCTTGCTCCTTATTTAGCTTGTGATAGGGCCTTGGTGGAAGCTATTGTACGTGGTACAGTAGCTGGTCACCTGCACCAGTTACTGCACTACAAA